TCTCCCTCCTCCTTTCCTGCTGTTCCCTCCCTCACCTGGTGACTCTCTGGTTTCCAGGGAACCGGTTTGTACAGTGACGAGACAGGTACTCCGAGAGTTTGATGAGTTAATCCAGACATGAAGTAACTAGACAGGGAAGGCTACATCTGAGGAAAGGAGTGTAAGTTTCTCTTATATGCTGTTAAAACTGAGTCAAGAGGGGTCCTGAGATGGATAAACATCGTGTGGTTGACTGGATGGAGACAAACCAGCTGCACTGGAGAGGAGTCTTGAGAGGTACTGCAGAGTTTCTTTTGGTAAACAGGCAGGCAGCTCAGGAAAACACACATTGTTTTGGTTTCAGTAAAGGGTTTTAGATGTGAGCAGCACTGTCGGTGAACCACTTGAGGAAGCCCTGGTTTTATCACAGAAACCCACACACACAGGTGCTGCTAGACAAGCGTATCCATCGGTGCAGGTGCAGTCACCTTAGAAACATTCTAAACATGCAGCTTGTCTGTTGAGGGGAATCCATGTAGATAATTAGTCATGACTCGTTTGGTGAACAGTGAATTTACCTAGAGGTCTGTATTAAAGGTCGGGCAGGTTTTCCTGCTCACGGTTTCCAGAAAATTAAATTAATAGTAGCAGTAAAGTCGTCTGTGACACCCACATGTACCATATGTGAATATGAGCGTCAAGATGAATGTCATTTGGTTTGAAGACATTGTCTAGTTGACTGGTATTTCTAAATTTGGGTAAAATCATCTTTTAGTTGGAAGGATTTGTTCTCTCTGTTTAGAAACATATTAATATTTTGGGGTAAGCTCAACAAAAGTTTCCTATCTGTGTAGACATGGTAGTTGTTTCGGGGGGGAATGATTTGATGTTTAATCTCCACATTTTGAAAATTCTTCTTTTTTTTCAGGTTTTTAGTTTTGATTTGTTTTTATAGTTGATATTAATTGAAGGACGATGCTTTTCTCACTTTGTTATTGTCAACATAAGACCAAAACCATCATTGAATTGATCCAACTAACAAGTATTGTCCATATGTTCCTCCAGAATATGTAAATATTAAGCTATGTCAAGCAGTTGTTGGTGTTTTCAAGGGATTAAACACAGAGAATTTTGCCAGCCTGTTCAGATGTGTTGTAATGATATATGTACGTATGATTTAGTTTCTTTTTCTTTTTCTTTCTTACTGTATGCCCTCTGTGCTGGAGAATACTAGTAATCGTTTCTCTCTGCTCTGGCTGACATCTGATTCCACTAAATACCAGGCATCCATGATACTTCCATATACTCCATCTTTTCTAATGTGAATTACAAAGCAGCTAGAGGTGGTGACAGATAGATAAAACCTGAGTGGTGACAGTGGCAAGGCTACTCACATTGCTTCATGTGTTGACTGAAGGTCAGACACGGGTCATAACTCGTTTGGTGTTTGCCTTGACTTCTGTGTGTCTGAGTCTTCCTGCTGCTGTGAACAGCAGCAGCTGGGAGATCGGCCTGTGTGATAAAAGGTTTGTTTACAGCAGTTATATAGGTACTTACACATGCAGTTGTGTCGAACTGATAAATGTCACAGCCCACTGACTGTCCTGCATAAGCACATCATCACCACTGTGATCAGCTGCTGTCATTTCAGCTATATATACTGTAAATAAAACACTGTGGTATTGGTGTGGTGGCGGAGGTGCCTTCATGTCTTACATAAAATGCAGGTTATTTCAGGAGAAGAAAAGGCTTTCATTCTGCGACTGATTGCAATGTAACTGCTAAACTAGATTTTTATTTTCCTTGACTGCCATCTTTGGAGCATTTGCTGCAGTTTGCCACCTGTGTTGATGAGTGTGTAATTCATCAAGCTTAAGTAGAGAAACACTGAAGCCCAAAGGCGAAACAGGAGGTGGATATGAGATTTCTTTTTTTTTCCAGTTGGCAGATTGGGTTCAATACAAATCTGACATAACATGACATGACATGGCATAAATCCATTAATACCCCTGCAGTTTGTGTTTACTGTAATTGACAGTAAACTGCAAGCAACACAGACATCAGTGGAAAAAAATCGATTCAGCTCTTTCAATTCCTCAATTTCTCTCATGGTATCTTTTTTCTCAGGTTTTGTGGATCTCAAGATTTGAGTCATTATCACTGCTTCTGCACAGACTTTAATTTGACTGACTGGCATGAATGTGGCTCTGAGTTTTATTGCTCATGATTCAGATCTTATTGTGACCCTCACACCACTTCCCAAAACCAATAACCAATAAGCCACATTATTTCTTGTAGTCTCTGTGTTGGCTGTGGTCAGAGTCTTATTATTCTGAGACCTCCAGATTATACTGTATGAATATGAAAAACAGGAAGTTGACAGACAGGAAGAGGAAGTTTGGGGTCGGGCCAGTAGCTGGATCAGTAGACTCTCCACCATGATACGTCTTCATAGATGTATCATAGACGTTTTTCACCCCACACCCACTCACTTGACTTTTACATCCTCTATGTTGTCAGTTATGTGCGTGTGTGTTTTCTGTGCTGACATGGTAACACATCCCCCACTTCAGGAAACAATAGGTGTATGATGACTGATCACATTGCTGAAAGTCTGCTGGGGGGGTGGGGGGGGGGGGGGGGGGGGGGTCATCACAGTTTCCCTATAGACAAATGACTGATATGTAGATAATGCTTTTGATAAGCTGCTTACATTTATACTCTGAAAAGGCAACTTATATAACAGATTGGGGTTCAACTTATGTACCGTAAAGTAAGTTTATGTGTGTGTCAGTGCGCATATGTGCGTGAACAGCAGGCAAGCCTGTCATGAGAGGTCCAGATGGTGGGTGGAGAAAGCCCTCCTTTAATCCCTGAGCCAGGATATTAGACAGCCCCCAACCCCCCCCCTTCAAACCAACAGACCCAACCACAATCAGCAACCCACACACACACGTACACACACAGTCATTTGTACCTCCTCTCGACTGTTTGCACAGCCCCACGCTGAGTCTGTCCACTTTTCTTTTACGTGACATTATCCACACTCCATTATGTCGCTCTCAGTTCAGTGCTGCTGTGTTGTCATAACCCAACTGATACTGTGCTGAATACTCGGTAGTTTGGTGCGTTCCGAGAGGTAATGACACGTGAGTCTAGTAAAAGGTTAATTCAATGACAAAACCTGTCTAGACTTGTGTTGATACCCTGACATCCTGTTTTCTCCGTAGCTCTTTTTAGATTTTAGAGCAGTCTGTGTGGATTCTTTCCTTACGCTGTTACTCACATCAACACGACTGATTTGACCTTGAGAATAGCGAAAAATTCAGTTTTTTTTTTTTTTTTTACATAAATAAACACATATTTTGTGATAAAGATACGTCAGAGTAAAGATATTGTGCAGTTGAATGATAAACATGATGCTTAGCTGTGAGGTTTAGCATGCCCACCATCTAAGTGTGTTAGCATGCTAACAGTAAACACAAAGTACAGCTGAGGCTGATGGGAGCGCCATTAGTTTTGCAGGTATTTGGTCAAAAACCAAATTACTGGACAAATTAATTACTCGGTGCCAGATGAATGACATGAGTGACTTGCACCAAATTTCATGGGAATCCTTCGAATAGTTGCTGAGATATTTCACTCTGAACCGCAAATGTCAACCTCATAGCGGTGATGGAAGAAAATCTAAATTGTTAATCATCTAGGAACCACACAAGTCTGTTCAGAATATTGTGCTTGTGTCTTTATAATTCATCCACTGGACCATGAACATTTCTACAAAATTTCATGAAAGTCCTTCAAGTAAATTAGACATAGCAGTGTATTTTTTTAACCATAAATGTGATTGAAATTTAGATATGACTATAAACAAAATTAATTAATTCATTTTCTACCGCTTATCCTCTAGTAGGGTCGCGGGGGGGCTGGAGCCTATCCCAGCATCCTTTCGGGCGAGAGGCGGGGTACACCCTGGACAGGTCGCCAGTCCTATAAACAAAATACAAAATAAAAATGTTAGACTTTAATTTAATTTATTCCTGCAGTTTGCAGCTGTGATAATCCAGTATTAGTTGATAACATTGTGCTACATGAATGGATCTTATGTTTTGAAATAAAATACATCTGGACTCCTCCTTCAGAAACAATTAGATCCAACAATAATGAAATAAGCTTCTCACTGTTGTGATTGGTTGGCGTCGTCGTCGTCGTCACCTCATTGTCACACGCTGCTGGAGAGAAAAGTCGGGTCAACTTTAATTTGCTCAACTTTCATTTGCGCTGCTGTACAGCTGTTATACTGTGCAGTGTGTTGTTCATGTCCGCTTTGATGCTGTAAATTATATCAGACTGTGAGAGCACAGGTTTGCATGTATGTGTGCGCACCAGTCTTTTTAACTGTGTCTGAGTTGTGTGAGTTATACGTGTGTGTGTGTGTGTGTGTGTGTGTGTGTGTGTGTGTATGTGTGTGTGTGTGCGTGCGCCCATCAGTGTTGTTACGACCGTTGATATTTTCTCTTTAATCTTTTATGTGCATATTAAACGGCTGTGTTGAAAGAGTGTTAGCTCTCCCCACAGATGATGCCCTACAAATCACAGACAGACTAATTAGGGTTTCTGTCTCCGGGGGTCGGTATATTCCTTTTCATTCTCAAAACAAACACAACTTTCCCCCTGATCTTGATAAATGCAGCTACCACAGCTCTAGCAGCTTTGCATATCTCCGGCTTCATGCGTGTCCATCACATTGTGCGCTTATTGGAAAATGAGAAATACAGATTCTTGATCCTTCCTCCATCTCTCATTTTCATCCCCTCTCTCTCTCTCTCTCTCTCTCTGTACAGCCGAGTCGGTGCCCCTCTTAAATTAAACATTGGGTTTGCCTGGAACTGCTTGAAGTTCCTGCCTCACATGTGGGTCGAGTATTAAAATATCCTCCTGTTCTGCGGTGCGCTCGTACTCTACGACAAGTGTGTCGGCTGTGTTCATCCCACATTGAACCTTGTGTTCTGTTGTTGCAGAGAGGAAAGGCGAAGCTGACTGTTTCCAGTCCAAGAATGCGGATGAGGAGGCCTGCGTGGCTGTGAAAATCGAGCACTCCACAGGTAAGAAACTTCACCTTCACTCACCTTACAGCCATCTTTCCCCCCTCCTCCTTCTTCATCCCCCTGTTTTCTCACATGCATCTTTTTTTTTAAATTGTCTGTATCAGTGTCGAAAAAGGTCACCTGCCTCTCAATAAAGAGATGTGTAGCTTTTTTACAGATCACTTATATGTAGATGTGCGGAGGTTGTTCAAGGTCCTGTGGTTTCCTGTCTGTACTCGTGCCGGTGTTGACGCAGTCTGTTTTTTGTCTGTCTTGTCCATTTTCATCTTGCGATGTTTGGGAGGTAGCGCTAGCTGGTGTGAAGATGAGAAAAGCTTTGTTACTTTGTCAGTCACCACCTCTGATTCACAGCAGGAGGGCTGCGCATATTTGCATTTGAAATCAATATCACCAACGAGACCGTGAGTGTTTTTGTAAATTTGACCGAATCTAGTGCAAATCTTCTGCTTCTTCTAAGAGCAGTATGAACACGCCTCCCTGCAGCTCACCGCTGTGCAGGGGTGTGAAGAAGGCTGCTGGTCTCTGCTCTATTTTTATATCAAACTTGTGTGTGTGTGTGTGTGTGTGTGTGTGTGTGTGTGTGTGTGTGTGTGTGTGTGTGTGTGTGTGTGTGTGTGTGTGTGTGTAGTTCACAGCCAGCATCTTCGTGATGAATGGGTACTTCCCTCCAGTCCCCATTGTCTTCCTATTTTTCACTTTTTCTCTCCTCTTTTGTTTCTCCCCTCTTTCTCTTTGCTTGTCTATTTTCATCATGCCCTCACTTCTCCTTCCTTCCTGTCTGTTTGATCCTATTTTTCTTCACTGCTCTTGAAGTTTTTTCTCTCACCTTTTACCTTTTTCTCATTATCTGTATCCTTCAAAATAAACCGTGCCCAGTTCTCTCTCTCTTTTCCCATCTCTTCCACGTCCGATCCTCTTGTCCCCCCGTGGCTCCTGGTTTGGAGCAGACTGGGGTTCTAATCTCACTCTGGCCCTTGGATTAGGGAATGAGGCACGGTTAATCTGAAGAAAGTCTGGGTCGCTTGAACACAAGCGGCTAATCCTCCGTGCGTGGTGGTGATGGTTATCTGTCACCCTGTCTGTTATATACACACACACACACACACACACACACACACTCCGCAGTGTGTGTGCCAGCACGACGGACACAATGAAGGCTTCATGTAGCAGGGTAAAACCAGACACGCACTGTAACTACACTCCCTCTAATCTCATTGAGTGATGTAGGGCGCCAGAAACAGTTAGACTCTGGGTTTTGTGTGTGTTTGTGTCTATGTGTTGTGTATGTGTGAATATGTGAGTAAGGCATCTACATCTGTAGAGTATTTTCTCCCACTTTTACTGTGTCTACAGAGCATTTAAATCTCCTGCAGACGAAATATCCACAACATGAAATCATAAAACATGTTACAAGGAACTATAAAAAAAAAAAGTGAACTTTGAGTGTGGATGCATGTACTTAAGTAACCTATAGTATCATCTTTCTGCAGTAACATCATTTCTTATATTTAGTGGGAATAATAATTCAGGTTTCTTTAACTGAGGTGTAAAAAACCAGGTTAACAGGGCTCCATTTCTGCTGGAGTGACCTGATTTCTTGGCCGTGTGTGTTTTTGTTAGACAGAGGAAGAATTGTTGTGACATTACTCTTAGAAATAGATTCTTAAGGCATTTCTGCAGCTAAATAGATTTATGTTGAATTTAAGTTTAACCACGTGGATGTTTCTTTCAACACTCGGCACAATAAAAACATTGAGAGAAGAAACCTGAAAATCAGATTACTGTCCAGCTGCTTGTAAATGCAGGTTGATGCCTGTAAACACATTTCCCGGGTGAACGAAAGCATTTAACTGTATGCGTCTGTGCAGCTCCTCACTGAGGACAGACGTCAAATGTCACTGGCAGCATTCTTTGATGGCACCGATCAATCCTCAACAACACGGCTGCAGGCATCTTACATAAGTTAGTAAAGTGACAGCGACACGTTTCCACCAGCTGACACAGGAGCAAGAGAGTGCACTTCTGGTCACAGTTGCACAATCATTTAGGGTTTTTTTTGTTTGTTTGTTTGTTTCTTCACTGTGGGAAGATTCATCCTTAGCGCTTAAAACAGAGATGTTTGTCTCAATTATATGGAATGACATGAATGATGATGAATGAATGATTTTGAATTTTGCTTTGCAGTCCTGTAAGTAAAGGAAATTGAAAGGGAATGGAATTTATATTGGTGAAACTGGTTTACTGGAAGAGCAAAATAATGACCGTTATTCCTCCCAACCATGTTCTGCTGACAGTACACACATCAGAGAGCATGCAGGTGTTTGATTGTGTCTGCAGTGTTTGCATGTGTGTGTGAGAGTGTGTGACATATTCATAGATAGGAGTTGAAATAAGCATGACTTAAATTAAGGCTTCCTGTTGTGGGGTTTTTTTTTTTTTTCTTTTCTTTTTTGTAACCATGATATGGTTCAAAGTTGGTATAAAACATAGATGTAGATCAGCAATTACTCAAAAGAGCAAACACCTCTGAGCTGCACTGTCACAGACAACAGAGAGCAACTCTCAGAGCAACTCTGCAGCAAAGGATAGATACAGAACATGGAAGAGCTCAAGTCGCAGTTCCCTGTGCTGACTTCTGCAAAAGGTAAATCTCGTTCATGTTCCTGGGATCTTTGTTTCATTTTCACGTATGTTAAAATAGATTTCAACTCATTGTACCAGATGCAAATTAGTTTTAACTTGTTTGTGTGAACTCACTTTGTTTGTCCAACGGTTTCACTCAGTTGTCTTATTTTTAGGACTTTAAATATTTGCACAAGTAAAGTGCCTAAGGAGGAGACGTTGGTTTAAAATAAAAGATTATAGGCTCTGGGCTTCATTTAGATTCTATCAGGCAGATGAGAGAACTGGTGTGTGGAGCTCCAGGCCGCTTTAGTGCGGTGCGTGTTAATCATTGATCAAACTAACTGATGCCAGAGGCAGACAGAACGAGAAGTGCGGTGGCTGTTACACACAGGCCGGGTCTGTCCTCTGTACGAGTGGTCCCGTTTCACACACCAACACTCTGCTTCATTTGTTTGCTTCTTTTGTTAAGGTCAACAAGTTAGAGGAAGCTGGAGAAGACTTTACCCATGTTGTGCCTGCGGGGTGTTGTGTACGTACGGCTGAATTTAATGTGGCAAATTCCATATTACCTGATTAATTTACTGGTGTTCATTTCTACATGTTATCATTCAAGAGAGAAATATTGTCTGTGCAGGAATGTGTAGCCGAACTCTCACTGGTGCGGCGCGTAGCTTGTGAATTCTACATCTGTAGATCCTGTCAGCTCAGAGGCGCAGAGTTCTGTGTGAACCTCTAGATATGTGTGTGTGTGTGTGTGTGTGTGTGTGTGTGTGTGTGTGTGTGTGTGGTGTCTCAGGCGGTGTGGCTCTGTAATTTTTAAAAGCCACTTAAATCAGGGGGTGTGTGAGCGAGAGTGAGGGAGGAGCATTGTGCAGCTCTGTGAGTCTCCATGCTGAGCTGAGTCACTCGGCGGTGGTGCTGCCTGGGAAGATCGCAGGGAGCCTAAACTCGGTGCTCTTCTGGGACACACACGCACACTCTCTCTCTTTTTCTGTCTCACACACACACACATACACACATACACACACACATACATAGCGAGGTCGCTCACTGAGGATACTCTCTACAGCTGCTTTCCTGTCTGTCTCGAGCACAGGGTGAGTTCATTCACTGGGATTCTCAACTTCACAAAATATTTTATTTTCTTCTTTGTCAATTTTAATGCTTCACCTTCGATCAGCGTGGTCTTCGCTCTCTGTGATGTGCTAGTTTTTAATCTTAAGACACCAAGCGGAATGATAAGAGTACACGGTCATACTTTGATAATGGCTTACACAAGCGTGCATGCTCTCATGTTGACCCGTTCCTTTATCTGTTGATTTATGTGTCAGCGTTGCAGTGTTTACACTCTCACACTGGCTGAGCCTTTCATATGATCAAGAGCTGATGTATGTAAACAGGCTCGGGCAGGTCGCTGCACTGAATAATTTCTACCCTTTTGTACTTTAGACCTGCTGTAACAGTTGCAAGCTTTCTGTCTGACTAAAGAGGGGAAGCATGAGGGTTTTTTGATAAGAAATTCATCGTTTCTCATGTTCCCCCGACGTTGCTGTGCAGCGGTGCAGAAGCCACCGAGATGATCATTTATATGCCAACCCAGTTATTAAGAAGAAGCAGAATTTGTAAAAAAAAGTCCTCTCAGACATTCCTTGTGATCCGAGTGTCGCGACCGTGAGGGGAGAGGCGAGAGGACAAAGCCTTAGTATTGAAGCTGTGTGAGACACTCCTCTGCTGGCAGGGTGGGGACACACTGCACCGCACAGACAGGTGTGCCTTTTGTATTTTTTTTTTTTTTTTTTTTTTTTTTTACCTCGCTCTCTCACACTGAAGTATCGACACACATACACACACACTCTGGCAGAGGAGGTTTGGGAGGGAGGGACGGGAAGAGTTTGACGAGAGACACGTAAGAGACAGGTTAGACAGTCTCGCTGTCGGCCGACAATGCTTCAGGGAGGTGGTGGTGTAATGAGCGTGAGGTAGAAAATGTCCTGAACGTGCACTAAATTAGTGTTTGGCTGAGAGGCTGAGTGGAGATTACCGGAAGGGTGCACCTGCCCACCTGCAAAGCCATGAGGACTGTTTGTTTCTGTGCTCATTGAGGCTGTTTTTAGCCAGGCTAACTGCATGGCTCCAGGGTGGTGGTGTCAGTCTGGCGGTCCGTCCACCACTTTGGACCGGACTGAGATGATTGCCATGAAATTTTGTACAGATACTCGTGCGTTCCCAGAAGATGATGTTGAGTTAAGAGACGAAAAATCATTCATTAGGAGCTGAAGTGATGGTGATGGTGACCATGACTATACAAAATTTCAGTAGTTATTTTGCTTAGGATCAAAGTGTTTAACCAACAGACCTTGCTTTGCCTGGAGCCAAACTATTTTAGGCACTAGTTGGAATGATTCACTATTTTCAGACACTGTTTGTTTTTTTGTTGCAGGGAAAGTTATTTGTGCCAAAATGCTACATTCCTTCAGGCTCCTTTGCCAGTTTGCAGGAAACTCACTCCTCTACTGCTGGGATATGGCAGAGCTGGAGGGCTGTGGATGGGGGAGGGGCTGGGAGTGTGATGTCTTTAATGCTGTAGTACCATACACACATGTGCACATAACTTGCTGAGCTCAGGTAAACTACAGATCGTAGATTCAGCCTTCTCAAGAAGATGGATGTTTTTGGAGAGATTTGGCACAAGTCTGTTTTACTGATAGACTCACACAGAAAGGGATGGTGTTAGATAAGTTATTTGTGAAAGCAGAAGAAGCTGGCTGCTTTTGCAAACCAGAATTTTTACAGCAGCCACTCTTATCTACAGCGTGAATGACACCTGACTTTTACAAGAGCATTTCTTCGCACTCACTGCTGTGCAGTTTTTGGATTCATTGAGATAGAGGCAGATGCCTTCAGGCTCAGTCCGCTCAGTAGCGGAATAAATTTAGCATCTTCAGAAGGTAACGGGCTAGTTGCCATGACAGCACGTCTCACCATCCTGCAACAAAGACGGAGGCAAAGGTCGAGTCTCAGTTTGACTTGTCAGCTCCTCATTTCCTGGATTGCTGCAGCCTCCAACAGTGTTTTGGTTTCTGTGCAGTAGCAGACCACCTGCGTACAGTAAACACACTTCATACCATCAGTGAGGATGCAACTAATGCTATGACATCGCATTCGACCTGGACTGTGCTTGTCTGTGCTAGTCCTTGACCATCAGAAGCTCCTGTTCTGTTTACATCAAGTCTCAGCTCCAGACATAAGTGCTCCTTCCCCGTCACACAGACGGAGGAGGAGAGTCAAAGTGTTTCAGCAGGGTGGTGGCTGGCTGCTTTTCATTTACTGTACACAGTGGTCTGTCACTTGTGCCAAGTCAGTTTTAATGACAAAGATGCCAGAAAAAAGTGTGTTACCAGGAGCTGTAGTTCCTGCCAGGCACTGAGAGAGGAAGTGAAGCTCATGCTGTTTTTACTGTAACAGAACTGGCTGCTTCATGGTGAACATAAAAGCTTTGAGATCCTAACTCAAAATCTTTTTCTGCACAGTTGACTTGCGAATTGGTATTTACAGATCCAAGCCAAATATATTTCTACTTATATCTCTGTTAGCATCTGTCTCTTCCTATCTAACACTTAAAACACCTGCATATCTCTCTCTGGTTCAAGTGAAAGTCTGCAGCACAGAGATGATTTACAGCTGAGGGACGGGTGTTTGACACAGTTAATAACAACCCCAGGAGACAGAGCCAGGCTGTGGAGAGTTGACCCCCTGCAATCTTCCAGGAAAAATGCCGTACAAGGAGTACAATCTATAAGCAGAGACTTCATTCTGAGCCATATATGTTTTCTTATAATCTCTTAATGTGGCCGTGTGTGGAAGCCAAGCGCGTAATCACGAGAAAATTCCTGAGGCCGCCCTCAGAATTGATTGGTAATTTTGGGGTCCGTGTTTAGAAAGTCTGCCCTCCCAAGCACAGAGAGGGACCGTTTCCAGTCAGTCAGTTGCTCGAGCTGTTGTCTTTAATTACGGTCATACTGTCAAAAATAGAAACTGCAACTAGATGATTCTGTGGTGATTTTTTTTCTCTTTCTGTTTCAGGATTGGTAAGATAAAGATGACCGTAGAGAAAATAAATATGGGTCCTCAAGCGGGCACCATTTTGACAGATAGTAATAAAATCATTGTAAACGAATGGCATCTGGAAGGGCACACCTACACCTACCACCGCCTACAGTATATAGCACATACAGTGCGTTTTTCACTCTAATACAAGTCTTTTATATACTCAAAGCTGCACTCAATATAATTATGTCAACAACAAATCAAATGATTATACATCATGTGAAAGGTGCCGCTTATAGCAACGAAGCCACAGAGAATTAGCACATCACACTGTAGTTAAAGGGCCCGTCACGTTTGGTTTTGGTTCACCCTCTCGTCTCTCATCATCCTCTCCAGCCATGGCAGATGTTACCCGCAATAAAACTCTGATAAAACACGTGCCTAGCACCCAACGGGAGACACAAAATTAGCAACTAGCTGGACTTTTTTTTCGCACCCCTACAGTCACTTGGCAATCTGCATTAAGCTTGTTAAGAGCCAGCAGAACAAAGCTAAAAGGGAAGTAAATATTGGTTGTATGCTTGTAAGAAAAATGTCAATTTTATGTGTACAGCTTGTTATGCTGCCCCCAAGTGGAAAACAAAATTCCAGCAAGATGGAAGATAATTTTCTGAAATACATTTAGCTTACTGGATGATGCACTCTCTTGAAAGTGCGGATGCTTTCAGCTATTTTTGGATAAGAAGAGACAGTCTGTCAAGAAATTAAGACCTCTTCTCAATGATTCATGGTGGAAAAGATGGAAAGTTTCTCTTTCCATATTAGCGTCAAAGAGTGTCGGACAGAGGACAAGGCTTCTCTTTCTGTGATATGTGACATCGCCGTCCCCTGTGAGTGGAAACAGAACAGACACGAGTGGAAGCCGCTCCAGTGTTTTTGTGAAAGTGTAAGCCTGTAGGCCTTACGCTCCACTCTGCAACTTCAGGAACAGATTACACTCCTCACTACACACAGTGTTTATCCGTACAAGTTAGTCAAGTGCAAAGCTACATTGATTTCTGCATCTGACCTATACATCAGTGCCACTTGTTAAATCACGCACACCCGGTTAAGTGACCACCCTAAATGGAAACTAATGGACTAATAGCTTGTAAACTAATGAGAGGCCTACTGGCTCCTGGCTATGTAGCTCCATATATGGGTATTTGCCTTACTGGGTTGTGTGTGTGAGTGTGTGTGTGTGTGTGTGTGTGTGAGTGTGTGTGTGTGTGTGTGTGTGTGTGTGTGTGTGCTGTGAGGTCAGAGAAAGGTAGATTTAGGCTACTGTAAACACTGCCATTTTGTGGTCTGCTGCTCCATTAGATCAGTCTGCCTGCGCTATCTAAACACTGATGCTGTACCATCTGTGGCCAGCTGGTTGGGTGAAAGCCTCCCTGGTGCTGATCATCAACTGGATCATTAGCTGGATAATCAACTCAACTGTCTGACACTCTCTAATATTTAAACTGCAGCTGTTTATCATAAGCATTTTTCCAGCAATTAATGCACTACGCGCTCTATATGAATATCCTGTGATATTGTGGGAGGAGTTATGGAAGGAACTATGTGTCCCTGCATGGGACACACTCGGGCTTGGAAATGTTTGACTTGTTGTGAATTTGAATAACGTGAAAAATAAAGTTGTAAAAGGTTTTTGAAAATTCATGTGTAGCCTTGAAAGTAAAATTAAAAATTAATCAAGAATATAAATAAATAAATACAAGGCAGCATGGCCATATGGCTGCACTATCACATCAATTTAAAAATTTCTAAATAACTAGATGTAACATTTTGGAAACAGTGGGTTTGAGGAGTGATTGTCTGATCGTGCTGTTTCTTTTCACTGGATGCTAAATAATTCTAATAAGGAAAAAACATCAAACATTTTCCAACAAGGTAGAGGGACACAAACGAATATCACTAATGAAAACTGGCAGAAGGCTGAGGAGCCAGAGAGCAGGACAATTTTTCAGATTTTTGAAGAAAGGATAGAGCCACGCCTCAGTGTCACCTGAATAACTACTACAGTATTAGTGGGATTTACTTATAATGCATCCTAATATGCGCTATTGTGATAATTTAGCCTTCTGTCATTTGCACAGCAGGTTGTAACAATGGACCTGCCCAAAGAGTTACTGTGATAGCTGAGTGGATGGATTGGTTGCTTGTCAGTCATTTTCTATACTGTTGTATCATCGCTCCCCTTTCATTGTTCCTTTCATTGACTGTGAAAAAAACAGATTGAACTGAATTGATCTTATTGTAACGGTCATGCTCTCTCTCTCGTCTCTGCATCCTCCAGCTCTAGGTAGCAGCCCGGCGTGCGAGCGCAGCAACCCGCCCAGCGTGCAGGCGTGTCTGAATCGGGCGAGCCGCGGGACGACTGACAGGAGCAGGGGAGGAGGCGTCAATGGAAGAGGCCCTGGCAGCAGGCCTTGGCTGCAGTCTAAACCACAAGGTAAGACGTAATGACGAGTCATCGCAAATTCAGCCAAAGACTACACACAACTGCAATAGCGTATCGGTGTGTGAGTCACACATGAAAGTAGTGACATGCACTGACATATTGTTCAGTCTCAGAGTGACCTTTCTCCCGCTTTAATATTGTCCCTCGATGCTTATTTACTCCTTAGCTCCCTAGAAACACTATATAATAAATAATTCACTTACTGTATGTCTGTGCTCATGCTCAGGAAACAGTGAAAATAGGAAAAGAGTTATGTAAGCCGGCCTGGGATGAGTGAACACTGAGCATGGTTCCTCTTTTATTTGAGCTGAGTAAATAATTCTACACAGAAAAGGAATGAACAAAGCAATGTGATTCCTAACACATGATTTGAGAGGAAAGTAAAACTGATTTCTCTCTGCAGAGCTGGCCAACTTGTTATTTTCAAGCTGAGTGTGTTGAATACAAAGTCAGTATTCTGCATTTGGTGTCCGTTGGGATAGCTTACACTGCCCCCCTCAGCTCTGAATTGAAATTGCAGTTAAATATTCCCTCTTGTCTTCTCACCAGTGCCTCCAAAGCCACTGCATCTTCAGAGCCCGGTGACGGAGCTCTCATCCCCATTGGGCCGCAGCCAGAAACCATCGCTTAGACCGGGCATGGAAGAGGAAGGTGGAGGAGGAGGAGGAGGAGGAGGAGGAAGAGGGGCTGTGAACCGGGAGAGGGCCAGGGACAAACACTCCAAAGTCTCAGACCTGATCAGCCGCTTTGAGGAGAACAGGTAGGGGGGCTCTCTGCTCTCAGGTGGTGTGTGTGATGTCCCCTCACAGAGAGGAGCTATAAGGAAAGAATACTCTGTCAAGAGACGTTGACTGGGACTGCGCTTTTTGTCAACTCTGTAATATTATTAAGTAAAAGTGGCTTTCGCTTGAGAAATTTTCGCTGACTCAAACCATTATCACACCCTCTGTGACTGGCAGTGCAGTTTTTGTCATGGTATATTGGTTCTGGTTGAACTATTCCATCTACGTCACTTAATAGCTTTTGTAATGAAGTGACCCCGTTCAAGCTGTTGTAATCGCAGCGACGGAAAACTTTGTCTTTCCTAATGTTTCCTACACGGGCTATTTCAAGGGGGGAAAAGCAGAAGTCTCTCGATTAAACTCTTCAGCCTTGACTCATTGATAGTAGCTCAGACGAGAGCTGTAGACGGAACGAGCGGAGATTAGCCCGTGCTTCACAAGCCAAGCGTTAGCGAGGGAGGGAGGGGATGAAAGGAGATTTGTACAGGCGAGGGCGAACACAGCTCCTCATTCAGTTGTGGGACAGGACTCAGTGTTGCGAGATGAAGCCCAGGAGAGCGAGGTAGGATCTCTACGACTTACTTAAATGTCCACGCTTTGATCTTGTCTCCTCATAGTTACATGGAGATTTAAGTATTCTGTTGGCTTGTACTTTTACACAAACTCTTTAAGGCTGAGTCGTCTAATTCCAATGTAGGATCAAGTGAGATATTTCTGCAGTGCTTACCGGTGTTTACTGATGTATCCCCCCCCATCTTTTTTTTGTGTGTTACATTTTGTTTTATTGCAAAGTCATGTAAGTTTTGATTGTAGCTGCAGCCTCAGATATGTGAGGGAGGCCCATTGATGGTGGTGAGAGGCACAACAATGGTGCCCTTGTCCCGACTGCTCATACAGTAGAGCCCAAAAATATTCAGTATGCAGCAGTGGCAGCCCACTAAAGTTTCACCCTCGTCTCTTCAGCCTGTTGCTTCTTATTCTAACTCATCTGTGGTTTGGATCTCTGAGAAGAGAATTACAAACTCCTAGGCTTCCCCCACACCTTTCATCACAGTTTGAGGTGTCAAATGAGGTAAATGAGAGCGATCTGGTGTAACATTTCCATTCAGACTCTGCAGGACTGTGGGGATTAGCCCTCTAGTGGCTCTGGAACAGAAAGAAGAGAAAGGCCCACAGCTTCCGAGAACAGAATTAGCCTACTAATATACTAATCTGGTTCACATGGCACTTGGCTGCCTTAAAGGTACCTAGACTGCCACATGGCAAGTGAAGCTGTGCTTAAATCTTGTCTAGTTCCGCCTGTTTTGAAACAGTCATGTACTGGAACACCATACGTGCAAAGAGGAACTGCCGGGTGCACCTACACACCACAAAGTGTGTGTAGTGTGTGTGTGTGTGCGCATGTGTTTTTTTTTTTTCTTTTGAAAAGTCTCCCCCCAGCTTATCATGGTATCATTCAGTCTTTCTCTGAGAGGGGGAGATGATCTTTTGTTCAGGGTTAAGCCCCTCAGGTGGCAGACAGCCCAGAAGTGATTAATCTGTGGAGTGTTTCACCAGCCTGTTGTTGTTCCTCTATTTATACCTACTTCCTGTTTCGACCGGACACTGACATTCAACGCAACAGTGAATGTTGCTGAAGCTAAACATCACCTGTTTTGTTTTTTTAAATTTTTTTTTGCGTCAGTAAAGGTTGGATTACAGACGAACCATCATTTGTCTCTTTGCTGGTAGAACTGGTGATGTTCTCAGTGCCGGAGGTTTTGCTTAGATCTGATCTGAGGCCAGTTTAAAAGCACGAAATCCGCTAAACTGAGCCGAGATACAGGAGCTACTTGCTGCAACACTGGAAGTCTTGAGGGTCGTTTACAGGGAAACAGCTGGGCTGACTGCTGGTAGAGGATGTAGAGCAGCTGAATGGTGACATTGTACGTGCATGTGTGTGTGTGTGTGTGTGTGTGTGTGTGTGTGTGTGTTTGTTTTTTTTGCATCTGTGTTAATTTGGTTTCCATTCCTGTGCTGTATTTCAAATCATCTTGTGCAGACTGCTTTTACCATTTCAATTTCAATCATGTTCAAGCAAAGGATGAAAGTGATGTTACAGCACAATATATAAAACAGGTTCTGTGTGTGTGTGTGTGTGTGTGTGTGTGTGTGTGTGTGTGTGTGTGTGTGTGTGTGCGCGCGCGCAATAGGAAGTAGGACAGCGTTGATCTCTTGGGAGTAGAGTTGTACCTCTCCTCCTCCTCCTCCTGTCCTCCTCATTACTGTACCTCCATTCCTCCTCTGCACACACCACACTTCCTCTGCATTACAGCAGCTCTCCGCAGCCTCATAAGATAGATGGAAGTTTGTGCATCTCCACAGCTTTATTTTTAACTCTCACACTCACATGCGAAAGCTCTCACCACTGCACCACACTCCCAGACCAACGTGTCGGTAGGGCAGCTATTAAACAGCCTCCTGTGATCTCTTTTTTTTCCCTTTTCCTCTCCTTTGGGGAGGGTTGGTAGTTACCTCTTTCTGTGCTGACCGACTTCCCCTTTGCCTTTTCCTCTGTTCCTGCAGCAGCACAGAGAACAAGAGAGACGGCTCACCGCTCAAAAATATCAGCAAGTCGAACAACTGCAGCCCAGCCCACCGCCCCCACCAGAGGCAGACGGAGACCGGCAGGAATCAGGAGAACCACACTTCCACACCGGCCGGGACACACCAGGATGACCAAAAACCGGCGGCTAACGGGTTGCTAGCGCAGATGGAGCAAGGAGACAAGGAGAAGGAAGATAAAGAGGAGTCTGAGAATGAAAGTGTGAGGATAGAGACTGCGGGGCTGGTAAATGGAGATATGGGGAACGGGAGTGCAGAGCAGGATGAGGATCGTTCGTCTCCACAGACGGACAGGACTGATACAGAAAGCCACACTGAGATTGAGCACGGTGGGACTACAACAGAAAGTGAGCACAGGAATGAAGAAGGGAGCAGTGACCATAAGGTACGAGCTGGTGGATTTTTTTCAAATCTATTTTGTTTGTGTAATATATTTGCAGCCTGGCAGAGGCGTCAGGTTGCTCTGGCTCTGCAGTTTCTGATAAACAAACCGTCAGCACTTTATTTATGCTCTGTGGTTTCAGCACAATTAAATCATGTGAACTACTTCCAGTTCTGGGTCACTCTAATATTGTAAGGATAGAGTTACAAGGGAAGAAGCCTGTATGTCATTCCTCACTGGTGTGTGTTTAAAAGGGGTTATTTTCTGCGAAGGCCGAACAGATGTCAAACGTTTGAGCAGCTGAGTTCATGTTTTAAACCCATAACCCCCCCACCACCACCACCACCACCTCCCCCCTCTCTCCCTCCCTCACGTGCCCTCCTACAGGGGGCTTACAGATTATAAATATCTCAGGTTCTGATCAATCTTTGTCTTCTCAGTGCTGAAAACAACCACACAGTTTCAGTGGTATGGGAGAGGAAGAGCCATGGAAAAATGACAGTCACATGGGTTCATGGTGAAATGTTCAGAAGTTTTTTTTTGTTTGTCTTTGAGCCATTGCATGTTTCTCAACAAGTCAAATCTAGCAGCCAATCAAGGCATATGATCAATTAGTCGGATTTAGGTTTGAGTGGCTTTGTTCCAGTTGGTGGATTTCTCATCAGATCACATTTGTTCTTTGTGTTGGTCGGTTCTAAACAACTTTGTTAATTTCCATTCAGCCAGAGGTTTTTATATATGTGCCTTTTGCAGTGGTGGAAGCACGCAAATCCTTTACTGAAGTAAAAGTACTGATAAAACCATGTGGAAATACTCCAATTTAGTCCTGTATTCAAAATCCTACTTAAGTAAAAGCACTAAAAATGTACTTGTAAATGCCTATAATTGGTATTTTTATCAGACGATGTGAAAGTATTATCACCTGAATCTGCAGCTCCCCTCGGCTTTACAGAGCCTCATAGTGAGTTTCAGATCACTATGGCTCAAGATAGCCTAGCCTTTAGCAGCTCAAGAGCCAGATATTTCCCTCAGGAATCGAAAGAGTTACAACAGAATGAATGTTAGACATAAATTGGGCGAGACTCCAAAAAAATGTTGTTCCATAACTGCTGGATGTGGAAATAAGCGACTGTTTGCAAACAAATTTTCAATATCAATATAAAAACTGATAATTACCGAAGTGTTGTGTTCACCACTCGCCCCCAAGTGACCAAAAAATCTGTTTTTGAAGCTTTAATAATATCAAATGGAAAATAATATTATTATACATTACATTATTAGATTGTCATGATGCATCTAGTAGAATTGTACTTTGGTAGCATTTCAAGGTCGAGCTTGTTTTAACTACTTTTTTATCCAGTTGAGCAGTGCAGTCCGGGTTCCCAACCTAAGGGTGGGTCCCCTCCAGAGGGTCACTAGATAAATGTCAGGGGTCGTGAGATGATGGGATTGGAAAAAAGTTAAAAAAAAATAAAAAAAAAAGTAAACACACATATTTGTATTTATATTTTTTATTTGGGATATTGGAAAATTAAAAAAAAGAAAAAAAAATTAAAATCAAAATTCTTTTCAAATGTAAAATCTAAATCTGAAAAGTAACTTGTGACAACCCTGACACTCAAGTAAAGTACAAGTACCTAACAGCAAATGTATTTGAGTTTTGTCCTTTCCACCACTGCCCTTTTGTTCTGTTCATGTGACTATACGACATAATTCTCCATTGACCAGTGTCCATCTGAAAGGCATGATGAAATGCATTTTTCTTATTCTGAAACGTGATACGCCGTGGTACGAAATATTCCGTTGCCATGTTTGTTGTGGCGGTAAACTGTCCTGACACGTAACACAAACATCACACTTCATCTTGTGTGGTGATTTTGAGGCTTCCCTGATTGTCTGTCCTACTAATTGACCTCCCACATAGAGCTCTGTTAGACATAGTTGTGTCTTTGTTTGATTTGGTGTCATTTCCCTTCTTCCACATTTTCATTTCCTGTTCTGAGAGCCCCCTGCTGCACCGCAGCCCAGGTCACCATCACCCCAGTGTTAATGACGCACACATGCACACACCAGTGATAAATGTCGCGCTATGCAACAACAGCGAACCAGAATTTAATGCAAGGCTGAGCTCACACAGCGGACAAGTCACTGAGGTGTTGAGCCTGAATCAATATGATAAATGCAGGATTTGCTATGAACACAACATGATGGTCCTCCACTATTCACTCTCTGGTGGCTGTTTTAAAAAGTGTGAATTCAGTCTTAAAATGAGACCCGAACCAATCAGGAACTTGCAGAGGGACGGGAAGCTACGCTCGACAAAGACAGCGATGTGGGAGTTGAACCAAAATCAGGAGCTCTCTATAGTGTGTCCCGCACTTCTGCATTATTTTCAGCTCTGGTTAACTTCATCCTTTGTGTTGAAAAAGCTTCTGTGGCCCCATTCTCTGTGGCCCAGCTGACAATAGCAATTCTTCATCATTAGAGAAGTATTAGACTGAAACGGTCATTATGCAGCCTACAGACTGTATGGCCGTGCTGCTAACAGAATGAGATCACATTCACACCTCACTAATTCATTAATGATCAGAAGTTATTTAAGATTGCTCTCAACACAAAATGTTCAAAATCCCCACTAATGTGCCCTCTTTTTTTCAGGAGACAAATGAACAGAAACTGTTTAAGATCGCCAGCGAGCTCTTGCAGACAGAGAAGGCCTATGTAGCAAGACTTAACCTGCTGGACCAGGTGAGGAACTCAGAGGTTCACTTCTCTGTTTGAATCATATTACGTAGTAAAGGGTTTATATTCCACAGTAGAGAAACCTTGATGTGAAACCAGCAAAGCAGGTTACATGAATTAATGTCTTGTTCTTGCAAAATGCAACTTTCCAGTTGTTAGTCACTTACCGGTTCCATGTTGTGTATGGTTCTTCAGGTATTCTGTGCTAAGCTAATGGAGGAGGCCAACAAGGGAACGTTCCCTGTGGACGTAGTGAAGAACATCTTCTCCAACATCTGCTCCATCCATGCCTTTCACAGCCAGTTTCTGCTTCCAGATCTGGAGAAACGCATGGGAGAATGGTGAGCTAATAAATGTTATAAATGTTACAGGGCTCTGTATAAAACCCAACAGTCAAACAGCTGTGATGATAAAGCTGCTGTCGTTGATGATGATGGCATCAATTTTATTCATTTTGATGCTTTTTTTTAAATCAAAATACTCATATATATAATCTAGTAGATTTTTAATGATACCGATTTTGTACAGTAGTGAACGAACTCACCGCCCTCTCTCCCTCCCTGCAGGTCGTCCACCCCTCGCATTGGAGACATCCTGCAGAAACTCACACCCTTCCTCAAGATGTACGCAGAGTATGTGAAGAATTTCGACAAGGCCATGGAGCTGCTGAAACAGTGGACTGACCGTTCGCCTCAATTCAAGGCCATCATTCAGGAGATACAGGTACTGTGAACCAGAATCCAGTACAAAAAAAAAGAGATTCAGGTGCTGATCTTATGTTAAAAGCATCATTCTTGTGCTGTTTTTATCACTATCAAATAGGTTTTGGGTCAAATAAGCACAAAATATGTTGCAAAACCTATAACGTAAAGTGAGGAAATTCAGTTATTTTGGTTATTTCTGGACAGAGTCAAGAGGCCTGTGGCTGCCTGACGCTTCAGCATCACATGTTGGAGCCTGTGCAGAGAGTCCCTCGATATGAGATGTTGCTTAAAGACTATCTGAAGAAGCTGCCTCAGGACGACCCCGACCGTCGAGATTCTGAAAGTAAGTAGCACCTAAACGTCTCACTGGTGTCCTTTTTATTTCACTTAGGCTATGTTTAGGTAACCCATCCCATTTTTTTTCAGAATCATTAGAAATCATCGCTACAGCCGCGACTCACTCCAACAGCGCCATACGAAAATCTGTAAGTACGAGTAGTAAGGTGTTTTGAACCATTTTCTTTAGACTTGTAAGACAGATTCTCACCAACACGTCAACATCCGACTGAAACGACTCGTCCATGTTTAGGAGAATCTGAAGAAACTGCTGGAGATATACGAGATGCTGGGTGAGGAGGAGGACATTGTTCACCCTTCTAATGAGTTCATCAAAGAGGGCCACATCCTGAAGCTGGCAGCCAGGAACACCTCGGCCATGGAGAGATACCTCTTCCTGGTGAGAGAAACTGCAGAGCACAGAAATATTTTCTCATCTAGTAAAGGGCACTGCAGGGAAATATGCTGAGACCACAGACTTCATCTGCACAAGTCAATTGAAACAAGTGAATCATTTCACACTAGGACCACCTCTGTGTAAGAATACATCAGGGGCACATGAGCAGATCTCTCAATTACTGAGATTGCCAGATGATGTGATTATGTTTTGGCTGTTTCATATTAACCTCAGGTTGAATATCTCCCATCGGTGTGATTCAGGTCACCTGCAGAGCTTATGACTGCCCCTCTTTAGAAGAAAATGTTGTCAGAAACTTAAACCAGAGTGGCGCTGATCTGTGCTCTTACATGTTCTGTACTCTTTTTTTTCCTGGCAGTTCAACAACATGCTGTTGTACTGCGTGCCCAAATTTAGCCTGGGAGGGCCTAAGTACACAGTGAGGACACGAATCGGCATCGATGGCTTGAAGGTCCTGGAAACGACCAACGAGGACTACCCTCATACCTTCCAGGTGTCAGGGAAGGAGAGGACACTAGAGCTACAGGCCAGGTAGACACAACACACAAAGAGGCTTGGCAGTGATTAAAAAGTTTTTTTGCAAACACTTTAAAAAGGTGCAAAAAGACCCCTCCCACACTGAAGCATGTAATTTTATATAATTTGTACCTCGTACAGTATAATTTCACTTATATTTGGAAGGCCACCTAAATGAGCACACCCAAGGTTCATTCTTCAATGTTGTGAACCTCCAAATAAACTCTTTGCCCAGAGTTAATTGCTATGTTGGTTTAACTCTGGGTTATAAGGGGAGCAGGAAGACTGTTTTTAATGCTTATTCTGGCTTTGTTTCTCCTTCTCAGCTCAGAGCAAGACAAAGCCGACTGGATTAAGGTACATACAGTATAATCACAATGATTTTCAGATCATTTTCCTATGTAATTATATGAGACTGAATGTCATTTAGCATGAGTTCCACATGAGTGTGATGTCGTCTTTGTCCTGCAGGCTTTCCAGAAGACCATTGAGATCTTCCAGCAAAAGAACGAGTCATTCAAGAATGCATTAAAAGATGCAGAGGAAGTATCGGTCAGTGTCACATCAAAATTATGAGTTACACTGTCACCACCATTTCTGTGCTGTCATATTGAGTATGTTTTTATTTTAACATAGAAAGCAGAGCTGGGGAAGCGTGCACCTCGTTGGATACGCGACAATGAAGTGACAATGTGCATGAAGTGTAAAGAGCCTTTCAATGCTCTGACACGGCGGAGACACCACTGCAGAGCCTGCGGCTATGTAAGTAATCTTGACATTGTCGTGCTATGCATAATGCATGCAGAGTAGGTGGAAGAGAGAGAGTACTGTGGTGGAGTAAAACCTCATGAGTGCAGTTGTATACATACAAAACAGTTTTACACATTCAAGAGGTTTGAGTATGACTCTTCCCGTTTCTTCCAGGTGGTGTGCTGGAAATGTTCAGACAATAAGGTGCAACTAGAATATGATGGCAACAAGATGAGCAAAGTCTGCAGAGACTGCTACTCCATCCTGACTGGAGAAGTGCTAACCGAGGGCAAGAAGAAGGGCATCCTGGAGGTAAAGAGGATGTTTGGATACCTAGATAAATATAAAAACGTGTTGGGATTCCCATTAGAATTTTCTAGGTAGAGATAACTGATATAAAAGTATTAGTTTGTACTAATTTGCGGTCGTCTTCTTTTGCGCAGATAGAGGCAGCTCAGTTCTCAGGCAGCAGCATCATGTGTGGCTTCCTGCAGTACTGTGAAAAGAACAAACCCTGGCAGAAGGTGTGGTGCGTCATCCCCGAGAAGGAATGTCTGGTGCTCTACCTCTACGGCGCTCCGCAGGTAAAACTGCAAGAACACAAACCAAAGATTTGATCACCCATATTGATATAAAATCCATCCATACTGATAACATTCTCTCTGTCTCCGACTACTCTCCCCAGGACGTGAAGGCCCAGTGTACAATCCCCCTTCTGGGTTATTCTGTGGATGACAGCACCCGGCCCACAGACGCTCCAGCCAGCTTCCGTCTCTCCCAGTCCAAGTCCGTCCACAACTTTGCTGCTGAAACTGAGGAGCTAAAGCAGCGCTGGCTCAAAGTCATACGAGTGGCAGTGACAGGAGAGATGCCAGAATGCCCTCACACCAACGGCGGCAATCCAAACATGATGGACAACAACAACACACAAGAGGCTGCTGCTGATAGCACATAAAGCGGCTGCCGGACTTTTCTACAAGCAAACTGCTGTTGGGTTGCTCAAGAAAGACGGGATGTGCAGATGTGTACTGCACAAACAGAATACAAATGCACACTCTCCATGATGTTCTTGACTCTGAATCTTCAAGCTAAAGTGAAAAAATCAGTGCTGGATAAGCTGCCTTTTCTTGTCACTCTCCTCTTCCCCCGTTTCCTCCGGGATTTTCTCATAAACCCAACTTTTGATTCACTGCTAAGGCTGTGCTGGATTACTAAAGAACATCTCTGGTACAATCAACACTAGAGCAAGGGGCCTCAGGACTGATTGACTTCCCTCAAACAGGCACTATTAAGGACAGCTCAAATTCATTCTTTATGGACCTCTATCAACTCCTCTTGAGCTAGTGGACTACCACAGACTTGCACAGCGCTCTGTACAGGATGTGAATCAAAGCAAAAGGACAGTTCAAACTAAGTCTGCTGGTGCTGTAACTCAGCTCTGTGTACATGTACAGTATAAATGTTTTTCTTTTTGAAAAGGAACAGTTGTGTTTTTAATGCATAGAAATCAGTCCCAAACGTTGTTTCTATAACACAGAAGATCATCTAAGTATGCTATAAAGTATTTACAGTATTCCCCCTTTTCTTTGCTTGAGAAGATGGTTCCAAAACTGGAACTGAAAATGGTCTTGTGGTTGGAATAATGATGGTCTCATCTCCCTCTCTCATCCCTCAGTGAAAATTAAGCAACAGTCTAATCAAATCCTGAATCCTACAACGGTGGGCGATAAAATCTCTCAGATATAAACTGTTAAAGCAGTACATATTGTGCAACGGTAAATTTTGCAGAAATGAAAATGAGAAACCATTTATAGATAAAATAACCAAATGTGAATGTCTGTTTTAGGCTCATCTGGTATAATTGAATACCTGACAAATCAGCACGCTTCACTACATGAATGCAACGTCGATCCTGTAAACTCAATACTACAATAGGTCAGTCCTGCTCACTGACAACGGGGTACAACCAGTGATTTGGCATTGCACTCCCATAAAATTGGGAAAATAGCAAGAGGCAGATTTTAAAAAGATTTAAAAATCAAAGCAACAGAGGCCAAACCCCTGGGACAGTCAAGCTTGAAGAATGATATATCCTACAATTCCCATAATGCAACTCATTAGCATCGTCCGTTAGACTTCCCTGATTGTTAAATCCCATCATATTTGACACTCCGTTACCCAGTTTACAACACAGGTTTTCTGTCAAATATTGCAAGGCTAAAGCCTAACTCAAAATGACCCTGGTGACATCACTATGACATCATCAGAGTTATTTTCTCAGACTTTAGGAAACCCCCCACACACACACACACAACTGTTTTCTCCACTCAGCTTGAGCAAGGCAAGTAAACTGAACGCTCTGTGTAAAATCTGTGGAGTGTCCCTTTAAAGGTATACTTGCCCGAGTAGGAAGCGCAGCAAACTAACAAATCTCTATGGTCTGATGATTTTGGTTTTGTCGCACATCGCCCACACCTATGGCCTGCACAGTGCAGTCTGTATTAAACAATCATCTATTCTAATCCGGCTATGTAAATGATGGATGATACTCCTTCATGTGCAAATCTGAGGGTGAACAGCAAATGGTAGTCTAACTACACAACAGTCATGGACGTCAATTCATGTAGAGAAAGATGAGCAGGGACCCTCATTATGTTTGTGTGGCAGTTTTCTATTTAGATGCAAATGCAGCACAATCACAGGTATAGCAAGCTGGCGCGAGACATGTAAATGTGTTTTTAATGCTGTAATTATTATTTAAAAGTAATTTATAGAATATGACAAGCATGATCTGTTAAAAGTAGCACAAATTTGTTCCCTCACTGTCCACTAAGAAGTGCAGTAGGTAGATCTTATTTTTTCTGAGAGCAGATGTTTTTCCACTAACCCATCAAACATCACCTCGGTTCTTCAGTGTGACACAGATCAATCGTGGTGCTGGATGGACTGTGTGGGGGGGAAATGTGCCTATATTCTCCATAATGAGCGTCTTTATTCACATGTTCCCATTTGCAGAATTCCCCCTCTACGCAATGCTGGTGCTTACCTGAGTCTTACCCCTCTGAATTCCCCCTCCATCCTCAGTATTAAAATAAAAAAAAAACTCAAAGAGCACAAACCTTGCCTGTCTGTAAGATCTGAATGTATATCCAGATTTTTATGTGTCCTCGCATCCCCTCCCCAAAGGTTTGAGAATCTACGCACTTTACAGTCCTATAAAGTGTACCTTCAAAGAAATAAAACAAGATTAAATATGATTTATGTGCATCTATATTGTTCCGAACATTATTTTACTGCTTGAGTAACTTGGCCAACAGTGTGTCTCTTTGTAATGTTACTTTCACTAAGAAACATCTTGTTTTGGTTCCTTGTTTTGCTTCTCCTGATAAGATGATTTTCACAATGAGTCACCGCAGACAGACATACTTCTAAAAATAGGTAACTTCAGTAGTTGCTGTTTGTCAGAAGTGGTTGATGTTCTGAAGCTGTACATGATAAAGCGAAGTCCTAAAAAAAGAGTTTTCTAGTCAGACACACTGTGCACACCAGCCCACACGTGAAGAGACACAGACTTGACTAATTAGTGGTTTCGTTTAGGTTGTTTGTTGAGTGATCTGTGTGAACTACACAAGCATTTAACAGATATAGAAAATGTTTTTATTTTCACAAAAGACAAAAAAAAAAAAAAAAATCAAACCAAACAAAAGAATATCAAATTCTTATTAACGAGTAAAACTTTCATAAGTGTGTTCTGCAAGTTACGTCTCACTTACATAATTAGGATTGGTCACACAGAATGCACCACGTGTTGTGATGGCGGTAACATCCCACATTACTCGAGAGAAAAGATCAGTAAAAAGGAGTGATGTTGCCTGAAAAAGCAAACTGACAGAAAGTCTGAGATCATGGTAGTTTCCTGGTATAGCTCATCTTTATGCTTGTCAGAGGTTTTGATTGAGTAAGAAAGGGAAATTTGGATCTAGGCCAGTCTTTGTGTTAGTGTGTCTGTCTCAGCTTTTGGGTTGTCTGAGCAGGCCACGGATCCGGCGAACCAGGGCCTGGATGAAGGTGTATCGGGAGCGGACCTGGCTGTACAAGCCCTCCACATCCAGCAGCTTCCTCTGCAGAGCTTCTCCAAAACCTGCAGCCATGTCGCTCTTCAGCTGCAGGCACACAACCAGGAGACAAACAGAGGGATTAATAATAATAATAATAATAATGTATACATATGTCAAGAGGTACAGCAATTACTGACACAACATGGGTGACAGAGCTCGCATCCAAAACCATGAATGAATATGACCTTCTTCACTAAATGTGCAATATGTACACAGCCATTTCTTACCAGGTCTAGGTCTTGCTGGCTGACTCGGGACAGACTGAGTCCACGGCCTCCACTTGCATGCAACCCGCCAAAGGAGTCTGAGGAAAACAAATTTAAAATAAACAAACAAGCAAAAGTTCCCTCAATTTCATCGCCAGTGATGGAAACAGCAGTTTCGCAGGTGAGCTTTACTCAGCAGGTCTGAAAACTGCCGGCTACGTCAAGTCTTATAGTAATTACCAATTCACTCTTACAGTTTTTGTCTTTGAAATGCTTCCTCAGACCGTGTTAAAGTGAACTGAACCGTACACAGTATCTGGAACATATTTTCTTACCATCTGTGAGGCGTGACCTAAATAAGCTGGCCCCTGGCATCAGGGAATCCTTGGGGTCAGTGGGGGTACAGTGCAACAGGTAGTACTCCAGGTGGCGCCACAACACAAACAAACATGTCTCGATAACATCTGAGAGAGAAGCAGGTCAAGGCGTTTTACACCGACTCATGCTGTGACATTTCCACAAGGTGTTACATACAATAACTTAATGATGGACAACGTGTTAGTGGATTTTTAATTCTGGTGTGCTGAAAAGGGATAAAAGGGGGAAAAAAAACAACAACACTCCTTTAGTCTGACGCTGTTAGTCCTGTCACTACAACTGTGCCTGCGAGGGACCAAAGGATACAGGAGCACAGGGCCAGCAGCTTGGCTCTGTTGTTGATAAGCTGGACCAGTCGTCTCTTGGCAAGCAAGCTCCTCTGGACTGATGAGATTTTCTCCACCCCTCCTGGGCCTGACACCAGGCCCTGGCACAACTACAGAGAAGATATCTGTGCTTAGAACTCAAGACAAAGCATGGTGAAGCCAATCAGATGCATAAAGTAAAGAATAGTTTGTTTTTATTCATTCCTCTGTTGACATTAACTTTTATATAAAATTCACCATTTATGAGGTGAAAGACAATGTTTGCTCAGTGTGTACAGCAGTGTGGTGTCTGTGAGACAGATTGAATTAGTCTATAAGACTATCATTACCTCCTTGAGCTCCTCAGGAGGCAGCTGATCCAGACTCTGCAGCTTGCCAAGGCTCTGTCTGTGACTCTGGTGGAATCTGAAGAAATCTGCAGCGCTGTTTTTCAGCAGGTACAGGACCATACCCAGGCTGGGTGCTCGGGAGTAAGACATCGACGGCACAGTGGATGAGAGATCTTAAAAAAACATTGGAGCCACAGTTTAGTCTTATACTTACTGAAGAAGAAAAGCTAACTTGTGGTAAAAGTGCCGCATGAGGTTCACTGAAAAACGTCTTTTTACAAACAGGAGGGGACTAATACTGTTTGTATTAACAAATATGGCTTGCTTATACAGTACACAGCGACATGAGTCAAACTCCTTTTCCTCTTCTTTAGTATGGGCAGAATATCACTGACCTGTGCGTCCTCCGTCTCTGCCAGCTGGCTCGCTGCCTGAGGGGCTGAAGAGGCAGATGCTGAACTGAGCCTGGGCTGAGCTCTGCAGCAGCAGAGTTTGGCAGTACTCCATGATGTTAGCACACACCTGGGGACAGAGGACAAAACCTCTCAGGTCACTGACAATGCTGAACTGATAAATAATCATGACTATGGATCCAAGACTCCACCACACATTGTTTCAACGCCTTTCTCCTGACTATTCATCACTGTACTGTTTGACCACCTGAAATGTATGATGGGTAACACCTACTACTTAAAAGGAGCCAGTCCCTGAGAATACACCTTAACAGCTTTTAAAACTACACTACAATTCCCCCCTTCTTCCATATAAGTCTCATTACTCAATGTACGGAGCACTTATTGCCAAACCTGTTGCATGGCCACCTCCATCTCCTCTCGTCGTTCTGCTGACTCTCCAGGGGCAGCGATCTCAGCCTGCTTTAGCAACCTTTCTCGCTCGCTCCCCACCAGACAGCCAAGCAGAGACAGACACAGACGCTAAAAAAAGGAAGACATTATATTACAACTGTGCAGGTAACACACTAAATAGGAGGTGCGTTAGCAAGGATAAATAAGATCGCAGGGGCATGAATAAGATTAAAGTGTAAGTCAAAATGTTTAACCTGGAATCGGTTGATGTGACCCTGGAACTCCATAAGAGCAGCACTGTTGACCTCCCCGCCCATCTCAAGGGCACCTGAGACCAAGCAGTACATGAACATCACCATTCACTGAATCACTGATATGTACATATGTGGTTTACAGAATAAAAATGGGAAAATATATAATAAAACAAAGTGAATTAAAAGAGTAGAGTCACTTTAAGGTTGGTGTGTATGGTTATTTTTGTACCTGGCAGAGCCGTTTTACTGATGATGCCAGTAAGCAAAGAGAGCTCCTGCAAAGCTCCCATGCTGAGCTCCTGACAGCGTAACAGGGACTGAATGGTGTCAGCATGGACTATTAGCCACTGGAGAACCTACACACACACAGCATTATGGGATAGTTAGACTGTAAGTGTAACATTTATAAAACAGTTTGCAATTTTTTACTAACATGAAGATGATGTTTAAGATAAGATTTTCACAGTAACACACAGGTAAATATCTGAACCATTTACCCCAGCTAGGCTCAACACAGCTGATGAAGGGATGAGGCAACATATGATGATGCAGTGGACTCATTAATAACATACTGATTGTTGGGATTTTCAGGGTAAAATTCAAAAATTAGTCCTCTTCGAAATACAGCAACCTTGTGCTAACCTGTGCTGCCCCCTGCTGGTGATTCATGGTGGTAGAGGTCAGGATCACTTGAAAGAGTCTCAAGGTCGGCAAAAGAATCTGCCTGTAGCGGTCCATAGGACTGGGGATGAAGCCTGATGGGTCCCTCATCACCCTGTAGACCACAAAGAAACATACCCAATATAAGGAATACTATAAGGCATTGGGAGAAAAAAGAAGGATAAAGGATATTTGAATTCTTCCTCCTAACCCATTATACCAAAACTGCCTGACCTTTCTGCCTGCAGCTAAGAAGCTTGTAATTGTGGTGCTGTAGTAAGGAAATATTATCACAACATATACTTCATAAACCCATTTGAGGAAAATCAATAAACTGAGAAGTCAGGTCTAAGGACATTTTCTTCCAAATGCAATGTTATAACAATAAACAATAAGAAGGTCACAGGTAAAGACACTTTCCCCTTCGCTTTCCAGACCCATACCTGTGTGCGTCGCTGTCAGGTACCATGTCAAACACCTGGCACTCCATCAGCTGCGCCACCAGCCCACAGCGCAGCAGTTCCACAGCTCCCTGGCCTGTCTTAGCCACACGGGTCAGCAGAGCCTGAAAACACACAGACAACTTTCATAATGTTGTACTTACAGAGGCTTTTATCTAGACACTCCCTAAACGGGGCTTTTTGAGTCAGACTTTAGAAGTATGTCAGCTGTCCACATCTCCTCACCATCTTGCTCTCATAGATGTAAAGTGGTTTGAGGAGGGGTGGCTGAGGTGCGAGCAGGCTCTGCAGGGCAGCGTCATCCTGTCTCAGGCTCTCCACTAGCGAGCGCAGGTAGCCACTGTTGCAGACATAAACCAGCCACTGATTCTGACGGTCTATTGACAGGATCCGGTCCAGCACTGCCAGGGCCAGCATCTGACAAGGACAACAAACCATGACACTTTGTAGCAAAGATCAGGCTAGGTGAGAGATGTTCAGAGGCGTTTGTTTTAACTGTGATCATTACATTCAGAGAAAGTGTTTTTGATATCACAGTGCTTCTCCAAATTTTGACGAGACACAGTAAATATTATATTAGACAGAATGAAGAATATATATAAAAGTATTAGAGAATTGATGATTCATAACCTTATATATACTGTAAAAATATAAGATCAGACTTCAGTAGATATTCAATCAGAATTGGGGAAATCACAAAGCATCATGTCAACATGAGG